GTTTATTCCCTCTTTTATTGTTCTGATGTTGTTGTCATTTACAGATTAACCTCTCTGGTTCCCTGTTGTATTTCTTTTGCTTTTGGATAGTCCTTGAGAGTTCATTTCCTAGGTTGGTATCTGGCTGGTACGATCCTGCGTCCTAGGTTCAGCCTGTGGTCTGATGTTGTTTGTTCTCAGCTCAAAGGACTCCCTTTAATAATTCTTGCAAATTTGGTTTGGTTTTTACATAGCCCCTTAATTTCTGTTTTTCTGGAAGTGACCTAATTTCACCGTCATATCTGAACAAGAGTTTTGCAGGATATATTATTCTTGGTTGGCAGTTTCTTTCTTTCAAGGTTTTATATATGTCATCCCATTCCCTTCTTTCCTGCATGGTTTCTGCTGAATATTCCGGGCTTAGTCTTATTGTTTCTCCTCTGTATGTTACTTTTTGTTTTTCTCAAGCTGCTCTCAGGATTCTTTCTTTGTCTTTGGTTTTAGTGAGTGTGGTTATGATATGCCTTGGTGATTTTCGTTTGGGGTCTATCCTATATGGACTTCGTTGAGCTTCTTGGATGGTCACCTTTTCATCTTTCTTGATATTGGGGCAGTTTTCTGTCAGCAGGTCTTCAGTGATCTTCTCTGTGTTTTCTGTTTTCTCCTCGTGTTCTGGAACTCCAATCACTCGAAAATTTTTGCTTTTGATCATCTCCCATATAATTGTCAGGGTTTCTTCATTTCTCTTTTTTCTTTTTTTCTAATTTTTTCTCAGAGTTGTATCCAAGTGTTTGTCTTCAGTTTTGCTAAGCCTGTCTTCCATCGTTTCAAACCTGCTACTCAGCCCTTCTATGACACTGTCCATTTCTGAAATCTTGTTTTTTTTATTTGATTGTTTTTGTATGATTTCTAGTTGTGAATTTATTTTAGCATTTTGTTCCTTTATTATTTTCCTGAATTCTTCCATTTTTAGTCTGTATTTTCCATGAATTTGTCTGCCTTTTCCATGAATTTGTCTATTTTTTCCTCATTTTTGTCTGCTTTTTGCTTCAACTCTTGGATAGCTCTGAATATTAGAGATTTGAATTCCCTATCAGGGATTTCTAGTGCCTTTTCTTTTACTGGAAAGTCATCTGGTGTTTTATTTTGGATGCCTACTGGAACCATCCTGTCCTGTTTTTGTATATGTTTTGATATTGTCTGCTGTCTTTTGGACATTCAGTAGTTATTTTCCTCATTTATTTATTGTAGATTTACTGGTTTTGTCCTGCTTTTTTGATTTATTTGGTTATGTCTGAGCAGGCAGGCTGCGCATTCTTTGTTGTTTGCTCGTCTGTAGGCATGGTACTTTTCACCTCCTTCTCCAATGGGCAGGGTCAGTCGCTCAAGTATAGTACAGCAGGGCGGGTCCAGCTGAAGGGGAGTTGCTGAGATGGCTTGTTTGTGGCATGTACTAGGGCCGATAGGGTGGGCCGGGAATCAGTGCAGGGCAGGTTCTGGTAGGCCGTGCCTGTGCTTCTTGGGGTTGTGATGTTCAGTGCATGGTACAGGTAGGCAGGAAGGAGGGGGGAGATTGTGATGTGTAGAGCTAAGATGGGTATGGAAAAGAGGAGAGAGAGGAGAGAGGAACAGGAGCCAAAAACATACACAGAAACAAACAAAAAAGAATGCTAAGGGAGCTTGCTGTTGGAGTGGAGAGATGAGAGACTGAGAAATGAGAAAAACAAAACGATAAAAAAAATACATAAAAATTAGAAAAAAAAGAAAAGAAAAGCCCCCAGGGATCCCACCGGTGCGGCCGTGAAGTATAGCCTGGCTAGAAGGGGTAGAGTTATCACACAGTACCAGGTAATCAGCAGACAGAAAGAGAAAGTAGGTATAGAGAGACAAGAAACTGAAAAATGAAGAAACATAAAAAGGGAAAAAGAGAGAGAAGAAAGGAAAAGAAACAAAACAAAAAATCAAAACCAAAAAAAAAAAAAACCAAGAAAAAGAAACGCCCCCAGGGATACCACTCCGCATCTGCACAGAGTAAGGGAGTAGCTCCCAAGCCATGCAATACTGCCTGGCTAGTGGGGGCTCCCAAGCCGAGAAAAGCAAAAGAAAACAAACAAAAAAGCAAAAGAAAAGAAACAAATCAAAACAGAACAAATCAGAACAACAACAAAAAGCCCTGAGGATCCCACCAGTGTGGTGGCACGGGCTGGGAAGGAGTTTCACAGTCAAGCCGTGTTTCACAGCCTTTCAGTAAGAAGCAAAGATAGCACACGGAGCCAGGTGTTTCAGAGAAAGGAAGGGGAGGTGGTGAGAGGTAAGGAAGAAATCAAAAGAAGCAGAAAAAAGCAACACCAGCAGCCAACAAAAGGCACTCAGGGAGCCGGCCAGTGCAGGTGGGTGGAATCCAAGCAGCAAAGGGCTGAAGCTGGTGCTTTCCAGCCAAGAGATTGTGGCCACAGGAAGCAGAGGAGGCCGAGTGGGGGTGAAGATGGGTGGGGGGTGGGAAAGCGTATATCGCTGGTTACTGGTTGTTCTGTCTCCTGCTGGAAGCTCTGTGAAGCTGCTTTCTCGTACCCCGTTTGCTGATCTCTGATAGGAGCCCGAGGTGGTGAATCCGTGCTGCGTTAGCCGATAGGGGACCTCTGCATGTATCTCTCCTTGCTTTCTGTTCTCTGTCAGTTTCTTATTCCATCCGGTGCTTGGCTGAGTTCTTTATCTCTTCATTTGATGCTTAGGGTTTCAGGAATGACGTTTGTCTCTGTTTGACTTAGTTTTTCAGATCTTTGCTGTGGAGGGACGGCATCGTGCTTCTGTCTATAGCACCATGTTGCCTGCAAGTCCTCAGAACAATGTTTGGATAAATCCCTGGCGATTCAAAATACAGGGATCAGAAATCCCGTATTCGCCATGCTTGAGAGCTGAATAGATTTTCAGATAAACCCCTTGCTATCAAACTCATTTTATTCAAATAGATTTGGATAACACAGTGTCACAATCTGTCTGAATTCAGGCACTGAGTAGATATGGATAAGTTTTTTGATGAATCCCTGTCCAAATTCAGAAATCAGATCGGTTCAGAGAACAGTATGACTTATCATTGGAACCCAGAAACAGAATAGATTTGGACAATTTTTTCATAAATCCTCTGATATTCAGATATTTGAATTTTGCAAGCAGTATTTTATCTGCTTCCTGGCATACACACGCGCATGTGCCTTCCATGTGTGGTTTGTGATTGGCTAAATGTGTAAATGTGGGCATGTGTGTCTCTCCAGGCCTTGAGAGCAGGATGAGAATTCCCCTGGTCCTTAACTGCTCCGCTTCATCCGTACACACACGCATGTTCCTCCCATGTGTGGTTTGCGATTGGCTAAGTATGTAAATGTGAGCATGTGTGTCTCTCCAGGCCTTGACGGCAGGATGAGAATTCCCTTGGTCCTTAACTGCTTTCCACCCCCACCCCCCACCTTGTCCTGCCAGAGCCAGAGGAAGAGATCATTGCTGAGGACTATGATGATGATCCTGTGGACTATGAGGCCACCCGGTTGGAGGGCCTGCCGCCAAGCTGGTACAAGGTGTTTGACCCTTCCTGGTGAGTCTGAGCACCTGGGGTAGAGGGGTAAGGGGGAATGACTTCCAACTTTACTGTTCCTGTGCTATATCCCTGGCCTTGGGGTTTATAGGGGACACGGGATGAGATCTGGGGTCCTCCTTGTGGAGTCCTGACATGGGCACGTATAGGCAGAGATCGGGGAGACAAAGGAGAGGACATCTGTACTGACATTCCTCCCCTTCCTCCCTCCCTCCCTCCCTTCCTCCTGTTGCCCCGCAGCGGGCTCCCTTACTACTGGAATGTGGACACAGACCTTGTGTCCTGGCTCTCCCCACATGACCCCAACTCTGTCGTTACCAAGTCTGCCAAGAAGCTCAGGAACAGTAATGCAGGTGAGTTGGCAGATCCAAGGGTGCCTGGAGCAATTCCAACAGTTCTCAGAGAGGGGTCGGGTAAATTATAGTGGATCAAGGAGGGGCAAGTGAGACCAGATAGGCCCAGCACCAAGCAAGAGAAGTTGAAAGCAAAGGCTGCTGGGCCGGGGGTAGGAGGAAGGTCACTTCAAGGCTTTCATGTCCCCAGATGCTGAGGAGAAGTCGGACCGGAGCCATGACAAGTCGGACCGGGGCCACGACAAGTCGGACCGTGGCCATGACAAGTCAGACCGGAGCCATGACAAGTCCGACCGAGGCCACGACAAGTTGGACAGAGACCGAGAGCGTGGCTATGACAAGGTGGACAGAGAGAGAGAGCGGGACAGAGATCGGGACCGGGATCGTGGGTATGACAAGGCAGACCGAGAAGAGGCCAAAGAACGGCGTCACCATCGCCGGGAGGAGCTGGCTCCCTATCCCAAGAGCAAGAAAGGTAAGCTGAGCAGGGCTGGGACTAGGGTACAGAATTTAAGGAGGCACTTAAACTCGTGCACACAAGCGCCTGGAGCTGGGGCCTGGGATAAGCATGAGGATGGGATAAGGCTGCTGCAGCCCATTGCAGCCAAGTTTTCCATTTACTATTGCTGGCTGCGGGGGGCGGGGTGGTGGTCAGTAATCAAGGGTTCCTCATACTGGATTAAAGCCCTCACCCTCACACTTACTTCCACAGTGGCAAGCCGAAAGGATGAAGAGTTAGATCCCATGGACCCCAGCTCATATTCAGATGCACCTCGGTAAGTGACAACCTCTCATGAGCCCTTTTTCCTCTTGACTCCCACTGCACCAGTGAACACCATCCCTTTCCTCCTCACTATCCTTTCCCCTATTTATCAATCAGGGCTGGGGGCAGGGGAGGGGGGACTCACCACATCCCACATTTCTGCCCTTGACCCTCTATCACCCCCAGGGGCACATGGTCAACAGGGCTCCCCAAGCGGAACGAGGCCAAGACAGGTGCAGACACAACAGCAGCCGGGCCCCTCTTCCAGCAGCGCCCATACCCATCCCCAGGGGCTGTGCTCCGGGCTAACGCTGAGGCCTCCCGAACCAAGCAGCAGGACTGAACCTTCACCCTCGCAGCCCCGGCTCTCGGTTTTTTAATAAAAGCTTTTCTGTGGATCATACCCATGAGGCCTGAATGCTTCCTTCCCTCTGTCTCCGGAGGCTTCCCAACCCAAGCCAGCAAGACGCAAAACACATTTTATTTGCAAAACTCACCTAAGAAATAATAGCATGGGGGTGGCAAGGACATGAGGGTGGCAGGGCTGGAGGCTGAGGAAGGGCCTGTCCATGCCCTCATAACGAGAGAAAAGTTACTCATGCCAGCTCTGCCTGGGGGCAGAGGTTGGTGGGGACAGGGAGTTTGGTGTCTGCCTCACCCCACCCCTAATACTGATCAGAGTTTGGTCCCAGCTGGGCCAGGGCAAGAAAGGAGAATGAGGCCAGGCCAACGTCTTCAATCCCAGCAGCTACGAACCCTTCACCTTGGTGAGCAACCTGTGGTGGGAATGGGAAGGAAAGAAAAACACAGAAAGCTGGGGTGCGCTGGCAGGCAGGTTTCCTGAGCAAGCGAAGGGCAAGAGCAGTGGGGCTGGCACCCCTGGGTTAGTAAAAATGCCTACACAGAGTGCAGGTCCCCCAGATCAGAAAGCTGCACGTGGACTAAATAAATACAACATCTTTATTTGGCATTGGGTATCCTGACATTTGTTCATTACAGTTCCTTAGAAAACAAACCAAAAAATCAGAACAAATTAATCAAAAATAAAGATCCAGTGACTCTATTTACATATAGCAAAGACAGCCCAGGCATCTCCCACGCACATACACACATTGGGATACAGTTAAGGGGTTAATAAGCTTTGGGGAATGCAGGGGGCAGGTTCCACATTTCATCAGCTCTAAGGCCCACCCCCATACACACACACACACACAATAAGGGTGTATCATACAGCCAGTGGAGTATCAAGAGTGTGGTTGGCAGCTTTATTTTTCTTCTCCAGATGTCTCAGAAAATAACTGCATCCGGCAACTGACAGTGTCTTAGATTCAATGCGATTCAGCTACTGGCAGCAAGGGCCCCCTTACCCCCTTCCTCCGCCCTGGATCATTAATTATCTGATTACACTGTTGATCAAAAAAAAAAAAAACAGCCCCTATTGCACCCTCCCCCAGAATGGGCTGATGTGAAAATCTCAGCAGCCATGAATTGCTCTTGCCCTCTCCTCTCCCTGGGCATTCACAAGAAGCCCATTTTCAATGGTCTCAGTCAGAGAAGCAGCCCCAAGGCCACACAGAAGACCAAGCTACTAACATGATCCAGTGTAGTTGTGAGGGAGGAGAGAAGGCCTCAAACTGGGAAACTGAACCCCGCAGGTAGGCATTAGTGATTACTAGACAGCAGTAGGTTTCTGTCGAATTCGTTCTTAAAAAGGAGGAGGAATGGCTGGGAGGGACTGTCCCAGACGTGAGAGAGGACAACTCCAGCAGAGGGAGGCAGACAAAAAAAGGCCTTGAATGACATCCCCAACCTGTCCCCAAAGGGGTTGGACTGGGGCAGAGGCGGGAGTTATAAAACCCCTCTGGGGAAGAGGGAGTAAGCCTACCAGGAAAGGTGATGTGATGCCCAGCCCTAGTCCCATGCCACGTCCCCCTGACATCTGAAGGACCTGGGAGAAGACTGCCTTCCAGCCCCAGAAGAACCAGGCCCCAGCAGAGACCTGAGTCCTGAAGATGCCCAACGCCCTCCACCCCAGTCCCATCTCTATCTCCCCCCTCCACCACTGCCAGCCCTCACTTCACCAGCACTGACTTTGGCAGAAAGGGCTCCGTGATGAGGTCTCCACGGTGGGAAGACAGCTGCGGTGGTGGTGGCTGCCCCGGAGGCTGCTGATGCATGCAGGGCCCAGAGGCAGAGGCAGAGGCGGAAGCTATGGCTTTGGCTGTACCTCGGGGAAGGCTGTAGAGGTAGACAGCACCGATGACAAGCCCGGCACCAAGGGCAAATAACGGGTCCACATGGAAACCAAAGAGGCGAATGGAGGCAACGGTGGACAGTACTATAGACAGGGAGGTGGCAAAGCCCTTGAGGATGTTGTCGGCGTATTTGACGACAACAGCCACCAGGAGCCCACCAAAGGCCTGGTTGAGCACTACGCCCCAGACAGCAGGCGTGTACCCAAAAAAGAAGCCGCGGCGGGCCACAGCGGTGCCCTCAGCCCACCAGAGCCCCACCAGGCCCAGTGCTGTGCCGAAGAGGCCGAGCTGCAGGTTGCGCAGCCACACGGAGCCTGAGCTGCCTTTGAGGATCTTCTCGAAGTAGACACCTGCGAAGCCCGAGGAGAGACAGGAGGCTACCACAGCTGCAAGGCCTACCCCAGGGTTCTGATCCAGTGGCCGTGGGCCCCCACCACCGGCTTGCTGCGCCTGGACAATGGCGACGCCAGTGAAGAGGAGCAGCAGGGAGGCCCACTGCAGCCGTGAAAGGCTGCGGTTCAGCATGAGCACGGAGAACAGTGCCGTGGTCAGGATCTTCAGCTGGTACGTCACCTGCGAGTGGCATGTGGAAGGCACTGAGGGCTGACCCTGACTCCAATGTGAGCCCATGGGGGATAGCACCTACTGTGGACCCCCAGGCACAATGGAGGGACAGGGTGGGGGTAGGAGACAATAAAAATAGCAACAGTACCCAGCCACTGGCCACTGAGCTGCAGCTAAATCAGGTTTGAGTGACTCCCAGAAAGTACACAAAAGGATGGCTATGCCAGGAAGTCCCTAGCCACACCCAAGTCCACATCCCAACCCCACCACTTCCTAGCTGTGTGACAAAGCATTTGCCCTATCTGAGCCTTGGCATCACCATCTGTCAAGTAAGACCAATGTATGTAAAACACCTCACACAGTGTAGGTAATGAATAAATAGTAGGCTTTGTGAGAAAGGGGTCTTGATAAATATGTGTTGATTACATATTAACCAACCACACAGCAATAATGTTAGCAAATATTTACATAGCACTTAACTATGTGCCAGGTGTGGTCTAAGCACCTTACATGAAATAGTTCATTTAATCCTTGCAACCATATGAGGTGGGCACTGTTACCCACTGCCGGCGAGTCAATTCCAACTCAAAGAGAACTGCCCCCTAGTGTTTCCAAGGAGCAGCTGATGGGTTCAAACTGCCGACCTTTTGGTTAGCAGCTGATCTCTTAACCACTGCACCACCAGCGCTCTGGGCACTGTTATAACCCCCAATTTAGAGATGAGAAAATTAAGGCACAGAAAGGTTAGGTGACTTGCCCAATATCACACAGCTGGAAATTGGCAGAGTTGGGATTTGAACCCAGGCAGCCTGGCCCCAGAATCCAGGATCTTTAAGCATTGCACAAGGCTGCCCACAAATACTTTAAAGCTAATTGCCAACCAAGGGCTCTTCACAGGTACTCTTTTTTTTTTTTGTAATCATCCCAGTATCCCAGTGAGTAGTAATACCATTTCCCTTCCCAATCTTCACAGATGAGGAATCTGGGGTTGAGGGAGTTCCAAGGATGTTCTGAAGGTGACACAGCCCCTGCTCTCTGCAGCCCTCCCACCACATCCCATATCCCCAAAACCAGCCAGTTCCCCTGGGCCCATGCTGGGCTTGGGGCTCACCTGGAAAGTGGCAGCTGGTAGGTTGGAAATAGCAACATACTGGAGGTTATTCTGCAAGGTATAGATGAGAGAGGGCACTGCAAGCTTGAGTGTATCCACATACTGCACCAGGACAGCCTCGTGGAGGAAGAGAACCAGGTGCTTCAGGTTACCTGGGTGGGGTGGAGTAGGGACTTTTTAGCACCAACTACAAAGATGGGGATGCCCTAAAGGCTGGGACCAGGCCTGGTCCTTGTGTCTTCCCCACCAGACCATGACCCCTGAGGGCAGGAATAAGGTCTATGCTCTGTTTTCTCTACAGCACAACCAAGTCCCCAGTAGGCCTTTCTACTACTCAGTTAATTGGACACAATCATCCAGAATACCATGAGTATCTGATAATCACAGACCATATTTCACTCATCTTGGAGGCTACCTTCTGTCAGAGTCCCATTAAGGAAAAGCTCTCAATACATGTTTATGAAATAACCATTAAATAGGAGAATATGAAGTAGAAGCTCTAGGAGTGTGGGTGGAAGACTGTTGAACGTAAACAGGGGGAGTTTTAGCTAGACTTATCCTTGCTCCTTACTGGCCTGTAAGCGGCCATTTGGCGGCATCTTGCCATCAGCTCTAGGCACACCAAGGAGTTGCCCCTGACACATGGAGAATGCATGCTTCAGCATTAAGGGGAGAGTCCAGCTGGGACCTATTCCAGTGCATTAATGAGAATCATTTTACTATATAATAATCCTTGAACACACACATTCAGGGTCTTTGCAAAGCTTGCCCTCTGTTTTTGCCAGATTATCTTTAAGTCTCAGCTGAGGGTTGCTCCTTAGGGAAGACCTCCACAACCACCATGCAAGGTTATCCCAGGAACTCCTGCTGCTGCTTGTTCAAAAAACCCTGTGCTTGTCCTTCATGGCACCATTCCTTGGAGTAATTACTGGTCTAGAATCCCATACCCAGAACCTCTGGGCTCAGATGGATTTTGGTATTCAAAATTTTCCAGCTGTTAGGAAGGTAACATGGTACATATACATGATGTATTACATAACACACCCAGCAGGGTCTGGGGCTGCACACCATAATCAAGCACATTCATATTTCTGCAATGAATTGTATGAATATTCACACCAAATAGGGCAAATAAAGGACAGAAATATACAAAAAGCCCCACACCAGATCAGGCCAGATTTTATCATCAAACTAATTCAGAAAAAGAAATCTTTTGGGGTTTGGCCTATGATTAAGTCTGTAGCTATTTTTTTCTACCAATCTAAAATACCAGCCCCATGGGGGCAAGATTCATGTCTGCATTACTAACGTGTATCTCCACAGCCAGCGAAGGGCCTGACATATAATGTCCACTCATAAGTTATCTACTGAACCAATGAAGAAAAGAGCAGGTGGGTTTCTAAACTCTAGATCTGGAGTTAATGAGTGAATAGGAATGTTTTCTTCAATGTAAATACCTAGGGCAAAGCCAAATAATTAATCTCTATCCTTTCATATGCAAGGCCTTTAAAGAGAAAACAACTGGATAACATTTTCAAGTAGATGCCCTTCAAGGAGGTATTTAAATTAGTAGATAAACTCAACTCCAATTTTTAGGAAATACAGAGGACAAAAGAACATGTTAAATGATACCACAGGGAGGCAATCAGCAAAATCTAGACTACCCAAAGTCTACAGGACAAAAGACCTGATTTCTTCAACAAATTAATTGCAAAGAGGGGGAAAAAAAAGAGTTGGAAGAGAACCTAAAGATTAAGAGATTTAAAGGATATATCAACAAAACACTGCCCTTATTCAAACCTGATCGAAAATTTTAAAAAACTTTAATGACATTTAAAAATAATTACAAATTTGAACACTAACTGGATATTTGATTATTTCGTTGTTAATATTTGAATTATTGTAAACTTTTTGAGGTAGGACTTAGTTATTTACTTCAAAATAATAAGGGACGAGGGAAAGCAGACATATAGATTGGCAGTGAGTGGATAATCATTGATGCTGTTGAACGGTGGTGTCCGGGGTGGACAATCATTGAATCTGGGTGACGGGTGCATGGATATTTTACTATTCTCACCGATTTTGCATGCAATTAAAGTTCTCCATAATAAAAAGGTTAAAAATAAATAAATAAATCACCAGGTAAGAGTCACCTGCTACCCCGTGGGCTTCTTACGGGCACAGGCTGTGTCACTCCTACAACCCCCACAGGCCAGCTCCCAGTGTCTTAGGGGTACAAAAGTGAAGATGCAGCTACTTATAGCCGGAGGGACAGGGAACAAAGAAGCTTAGCTGCACTTACACACTCTCCAGGCATTTTCACAGATACTCCAACAGACCCTCCATGTGAGTGAGCACTCACTACGTGTAGAGTCCCTCCCGCCGACCCCAGTGCAGCAACACCCCCATCCCCTCCCCCGCTCGTACCCCTCTTCTGTGCGAAGAGCAGAAGCAGGCAGGTGAGACCTTTGAGCACTTCAGCCATGACCACAGCGGTGGTGGCAAAGAAGCGGTCCCCAGGCAGTGTGCGGGCATAGCGGATGCTGAGGATGAGGGAGGCATTCTGGACCACCAGCACAGCTAAGGATATGTACTTGAGGCGCCGGTGAGCTGTGGGGAACAGAAGGAGCGAGGGGGAAGGAGAGGGTCAGAAGCTGCTGAGGCATAGCCACACCACCTGCCCCCTTCTTTCTCAACCAGGATCCTCCTAGCCACCAATACTTCCACCCTCTGCCTGTTCCACCCTCACCCAATGAGGGCCTGACCCTTCCCCTTCCGCTGCCTCAGCCACAGGCAAGAGCCAGAAAGGGCCAAACCCTGTCCAGCCCATACCTGGAACGCTTACTGAGGTATCTGGTGGCTGAGCACGCCTTGGACACCCACCTTGACCCCCTCTCTGCCTCTCTTGGTGAGAAGTAACTCTCCCTCAGAATATCAACAACTACATTCTTGATATTTATTGTTTACTGTATGCCCGTCACTGGGTTAAGGGATCTATATGGATTACCTCAATGGACCCCTATACCACTCTTATCTCCCAAGGAACTATGAGGATTCCCATTTCAGGGGTGAGAAAATGGAAGACTTATATGAAATTATACTCCTATTTAATGAAAGATTGTCTCATGTAAAGAATGATACCCTAATACAAGGAATGAGACCATTGTATAAGGCATGTACACCCCTAAGGAATGGTCTTTCTCCCATCTGAGAAATGATTCAATTCCCTCACACTCAGAATGGTCTACACCCCATACGGAATGATCCTCCCCACACTCAGAATGGCCTCTCCAATCCCTCCCTCATACGACAACTGCCTCCTCTAGACCCAGAATGGTCTAACAAATATAAGAAGTGATTCCCCATTGTCCCAAGGTTTGAACCACCATATGATGAATGGTTACCCTACTGACAACAGTCTGGTTCCCTCAACCATATAAGGAAACATTTCCCCATACTCTATAGTCCAGTCGTCTTCTCCCCACCCCCATTCACAACAACATTCACCCCTACCCCCGACAAGGAATTATTTTTTTCTACCCACGCTCAGAACGAACTCTCCCCACTATAAAGAAGGACCGGCATTCTCAGAACATTCTTTCTCCACCATATAAGGAATGACCCTCCCACCCCAACATACAATTAACTCTACATCCATTAGAAAGTGACCCCCCCCCCAAGAACGGTCTTCTCCCCTTATAATGAAGGACGTCCTGTCAAAATGGACCCTCTACTCATATAAGGAAAGCCCCGCCCCACCCTAACTCACAGTGGTCCTTGTCCCTTTATAAGGAAGGAACCACACCTTCAGAATGATCTTTCCATTCTATAAGGACGAACCCCCTCCACCCCTTAGAATGGTCTCTCCCTTCTATAAGAAAAGAACTCCACAGACGCTCAGAATGTCTTAGCCTCCCAAAAATACCCTTCACACTCAGAATGGTTTCTACGCTCTTTATGCGGAAGGACCCCCTCAATCATCCTCAGAATGGTCTTTTCTTTGCCTCAGCACACTCACAATGGTCCATTCCGTCCTCCCTCCCTCACAGACATAGGTTGGATCATACGGGATGCTCCCTCTAGCTCCAGTGAGAAACCTTCCCAACCCCCAGCGATCCCGACCCCGCCCCACCACGGACTGCTCAGCCACAGCCCATCTCACTCGCACTCGCAGTCCCAGGCTCCAACGTCCCCGCGGAGATCACCCCTGGCCCAGGCGCCGCAGTGGAACCGCCAGCCCCAACCGCTGCCATGTTGGCATCTGCCCGACCCGTCCCCTCGGCAACAGCAGGCCACTTCCGTGTCCGTCACTTCCACTTCCTGGTCTCCGGAGTGAAGGTGGAGCAAGTGTAGGGTCGGCTAGAGCGGTGGTTTTTCTCGCCAACTCCTCAAGAGTGAATTTAAGGGGGCAACCTGGGAATTTCCAAATTCCACTGGGACCGGGAGACTGAGGATGCGGCCAACTCGGCCTCACGCCGACTTTGCAAAGCCTTATTGGTCCATTCCACCACTAGACCCGCCTTCGTCTTCTCATTCGCCCACCTCTTTGATCCCGCTTTCCGTATCACCTGCCCATCCTTTCTGTTCGTCTCATTGGTTCAGTTGCATTGGGCCGCCCCTTCCCCCGCTTTAAACATCTTGCCTGTTTTTCAGCACCTCCTTCAGATGGCACCTCCCTTTCTGTATCAGAAACTCCCAGGTCCTTCCCGGTTGGACTGAAGTTTTGCTTTCCCCTCTCCCAGCTAGGCCCCCGCCCCCTGGGTGAGCCCCCCGGAATCTGAGAGGAAAATGGGACCTTGAGAGGTCTGAGCAGGTAAGGGGGTAATGGGTGAAGCAAGTGGCGACAAGTGAGGGTCAAGCAGGCAAGCTAGCATATAAAAGTAGAGCAGTTGACGACACGCAAGTGAGGAAAGCACTGGAGAGTTGAGACTGAAAGGGGAGGACAAGTGAACCACCATTGAGGACGGAAAAGTGAGATGGGGACAGGTAAGTCAGCCGGTGATGGCCAAGCAGGAAAGGGCAGGGCAGGTAAACCAGCAGGCAAAGAGGCTCACAGGTTAGATAGCATCAGGACAAGTGAAATGAAGATAGAATAGTGCAGGGCAAGTAAGTCAAGAGTTGAGGAAGGAGAGATGAAAGGGATGAGCAGGTAAGGCAAAGTCAGGAGAGAGGCATTTTCTATGTCTCTCAGTATCTCCAATGGAGCCCTTCTGCACATACTTAGTGCCACGTAAGTGCTAGGGGGAAAACAGTTTTTCTTTGCAATCCTGCTTCAATAAACCCATAAAAATTCTTTAGGTACCACAAGACTGAGGCTTCCCCAAAGAGGAGAGGTCCATCTAATCTCTCTCTTGGCTCATCTACAGTATATATTCTATAAATGCCTTGCTAGATCTACGAATGGGCAGTCATTTCTGATTCTATTACGTTTATTAAATAGTGGGCCTCCACACATGGCTTTTTAAATAATCCAGGCAGGGGGAAAAGGGAGAGGAGAGCACACTTGGAGCTCCCCACCCCCAATACATAAGTATTTACATTTCCTTAACTGGACAATCCTGGCTCCTAAGCAGCAAGAATCTGCAAAAGTTGGAGAGGGCCCCAGAAGAACAGGCAACAAAACTTATTTCCCCCTTCCAATCCCCCCGAAAAACATCCACCCCATCCTAGTCTCTGATGTTGCCCATCTCCCATTCCTTCCCACGTCATGGAAGTAGGGTTTTCTTCACCAGAATAAGAGCACTTGGGATAACAGTTAGGATCCCCTCACCAAAAAAAAAAAAAAAAGAAAAAAAAAAAGAGCCCTGGGATAACAATAGGGCATTTCCTCCCCCAGAATAAGCAACACTGGGCTGAGGTAGGCAGGCAGCTTGACTGAATATGGGACCTTAGACTAGGGGAAAGGGTCCCTTGTCAAAATAAGAGCTGCTGGGGTATTGGAAAGAAAGCACCCTTGCCCAAGTAAGGGCATCTGAACTAAGTGTGTGTGATGATAGTAGGAGGTGCCAGTGTAGGGGTTGCAACTCATCAGAATAAAAGTCCTGGAGCTTAGAATGGAAGTAACTTCAACCAAATAAACATCCTTAGCAAAATGGGAAACAAGGAAGTCCCTGCTCCAGAAGAGACCACAGGTTCTCTGAGGAAGGCTCCTTAGCAGGACTGGGATGGGGACTGGGCAGACTTGGCTAGGTCCTCTGACCGCTGATCCCCAACCCCTGTAGTAACACTATAGATCCCCCCAGTAATACTGGATTTTTAATGACCTGTAAAACCAGGTCAACAGATGTCCAACTATCTCTGTAGCAGGGCCATGGGATGGCTATTTCAGCCAGTGAGGGCCTGGGTAGGCCTAGGGCAGCAGGGACCAGGCCAAGGGGGTGGGGTCTCCTTTGGGGGTGCTGAGGGGTGCATCCTCGGCTGGTGTCTGCATCCAGGGGTCCAGCAGGATCTCTTCCAGTGAGGGCCGGGCAGAAGGCTTGGGAGCCAGGCACCGGCGAATTAGGGCACAGCAATCTGCAGGGCAGGAGCACAAAAGGGAGATTAGCAGTCAGGGGGACACCAGTCCCTGGGAGGGATGGAGTTTGCTGGGCTAGGGCCGGTGAGGGCCTCACCTGGGGAGACGTGGTCAGGGAAGTGGAGCTCAGCCTCCAGAATCTCCTGGTCCCTCTCGAAGGGAATGTCCCCACACACCATGTCATAGAGGAGGATACCCAGTGACCAGACAGTGGCCGGGAGTGCATGGTACTGGTGTCGAGAGATCCACTCTGGGGGGCTGTACACCCTTGTCCCTGCATGCAAGCTGAGGGTTAGACCACTCTCTGATAATACCCTTTTCCTACACCACTCTCCCCAGGAAGTATAGTCCCCTCACCAGAATTTAAGAGCACTCATTATAAGAGCAGGGTCGCCTTACCAGAATAGGAGCACTTAAAATATAACAGGGTCCCATCGCAAGAATAAACATGCTTAAAGTTAACACTAGGGTACCCTCATCAGAATAAGAGTGCATTCAGGATAGCAAGGTCCCCTCACCAGAATAAGAGCCCATAACAAGATCAGGGCATTGTCTGAAGATGGACTTTATCAGAGAGCAAGGCTTGAGAGTCCACAACATTAGAAATCAAGAACTATATAAAGGTACAGTATGGGTCAAGGGTACAGTATGGGTCCAGCATTGGAGGTCAAAAGTCAAGAGGTCATAAAAATAAAGATAAAAAATTCCCCCAGTGAGATTTAGGCAAGTCTTACCATCAAAGTCAGTGTAGGGTTCATCATGAAGCAGGGCACCGGACCCAAAATCAATGAGTTTGACACAGCCCCGGCGGAGGTCCATCAGGATGTTTTCGTCCTTGATGTCACGGTGGACAACTCCACAGGCATGGCAGTGCCGAACGGCTGCCACTACCTGGGCAAAGAGGCAGCGGCTTCGGCCCTCACCCAGTGGGCCCTGCTCTGTGATGTAGTCAAAGAGATCCTGGGCAGGCAAAGGCCGCTCGAGGACCAGCATGACGCCCTCTGGTGTCTCAAACCAGTCAAGCAGGCGAATCACACCAGGGTGCCCACCACCTGCACCCACCTTCCATAGCAGTGCCACCTCGAGTGGGCATGCGGCTGAGTCTGTCTGGGGGGAGCAAGCAGGGAGAGCAATGAGAACGTATATGTCAGGCCAGTGGCTCTCAGGCTGACTTCTCACATGGACTCAAACCACAGCTCCTCAGCCACCTATCTGTGTGGCCTTGAGCAGCCCATTTCCCTTCTTGGGCCTCAGTTTCCGCTTCTTAAGGGCTCAAACTCACAGTGACATTGAGAGGGTGAAAGAGCAAACAGCCTACACACATCAGGCATATAGTAGGAGCTCAGTAAATATTTGAAGAATGAAAGTGGTTCTTAGCAAAAGGCCTTCAGCAGAGGAAACAATAAATACTATTATATAATATTTTATGTTTTGTTCACTGACATATCCCAAAAGATTAGAACAGTAGCTTGCACACAGTAGGTGCACAATAAATGTTTGTTAATAGATGAAAACACTTTATAGCACAGCGTCTGACATGGATCACACTTTTATGGTGTGATTGTTTCTGTTCACTGACCTATCTCAAGCACTAGAACAGTGCCTGGTAACAGGGTAACCATAACTAGTTGCCATCGAGTCGATTCCAACTACTGGCGACCCCACGTGTGTCTGAGTAGAATTGTGCTCCATAGGGTTTTCAATGGCTGATTTTTTGGAAGTAGATTGCCAGGACTTTCTTCTGAGGTGCCTATGGATGGACTCAAACCACCAACTTTTTGGTTACCGAGCCCATTAACCATCTGCACCACCCAGCGACTACAGTAACAGAGTAAACCAAAAATCAAACCCATTGCCGTCGAGTGGATTCTGACTCAGTGACCCCATAAGGACAGAGCAGAACTTCCCCATAGGGTTTCCAAGGAGCAGCTGGTGGATTCAAACTGCTGACCTTTTGGTTAGCAGCCGAGCTCTTAACCACTGCGCCACCAGGACTCCAGTAACAGAGTAAGGCTTAATAAATACTTGTTAACAGGTGAAAGTAATTAGTAGAAAAGGACCTAGCACAAAATAAGCTCTCAATAAATATATAATATTTTGCCAGGTACCTAGAATAGTGCATATGTTAAGCAGCTGAAAGTGATTAATTGCAAAGGACCTAGCACAAAGTAAGAACTCAATAAATGTTATCGTGTGGTATTTTGTCACTGTCACCAAGCACCTAGAATAGTGCTGAATGACAGTACTCAGTGGAACCTGGAACACAGTAAGCCTTTATGATGAACCCAAAGCCTGAGGCATATGGTCGGTCTCAATGAAAGCCATAAATCTTACTGGCCACAAAAGCCACCCCACCCACTCTAGAAAGCTCAGTACAGGCACACCGATGGCTAGAGGCAGCCTTTCTCCCTGAGGTGGGGCCCTCTCCCGGCCAGTCCACTAACTTGAACAGACTCAGGTTTTCTCACGGTAATGCAAATCTCACTGCTGCGCAGGCGCACCCTTTCCCTCTAAGTCCCACGGCCTGCGCAGGCGCAGTCTCCCCAAAGCCCACCAGGGGGCGCTCCCGCCTCTACAACTTGCCCAGACCTGCCCTGTTGTCCGTTAGCTCTCCAACGGCAGGAAAGAGCAACCACCATCACCATGGCAACCAGTGACCTCTGACCCTCTTTCCTCACCAGCATGCCCTGCGGGCAACCCCCAAAGCAGTGTTTGGCGGGTGGGTGAGAAAAAAAGGTTGGAGGGGAGAATCCAGGCTCTAGGGGAACTGAGGTGAGTCAGAACAGTATGGGGTGGTGGGTATCAGCTCAGGGGTGTAAACAAGGGCTGGTAGTAGTGTTCTCACCTTAAAGGGCCCAGGGAATCATCCATCCCCTAGAAAGGAAACGGGTGAGTCCATCCTCAGAGATGGGAGTCTATAGGTCAGGAAAGACTCCAAAGATACTCACCGAGGGGAACCAGCCCAGCACACGATTCCGGGGGATCACTTTGATGGCCACCTGGGGAAGATGACCAAGTGAGGGGACCAGCAGGTGACCCCCAGGGCCCTCCCAGTCGACTCTCTGCCCACTTCCAGTGTCTCTCCATCAGCCAGCACCCTAGTTTTTCTGGTTCCCAACCACACCACACCCCATAATGAGCCAGGGTTTCTCCCCTGCCCTCCTCCAAGTCCCCAGAACCAAGTTCACCCCCTCACGATCCTTAACCCTGGGGTCTCCCTTCTCAGGCTTCACCATCCCTCACTTCCAAGTTCTGAGTTCTGAATTTCCGAACACCCCAAATCTTCAATCAACTCTGTACTAGGGTCTTGGTCCTCACGACTCCACACTAGACACCTGCCTCCAAAATCCCCAAAATCTCACACCTGGGTTCCCGACTTTCGCACACATACACACGTCCCTTGGATCCCGGGTCTAGTGTCTTTATGACCCCCCATTCCCTAGTCTCACTCCCTGGACCTCCAAAATCATCGCTCTAAAACCTACCCGCCATATACCCACCTGAATCGTCCCTCCCCGCCCCCACACACGGGCATCCCCAGCAACCGGATCTTGGTTCTCATGACCCTACTACACACATTGCAGGCTCACTCCCCCATCAGCCAGCATCCCGCTCCCCGGCCCACCACCCACTATACACACGCCTGACCCTCCCAAGACCTTCGTGGTGAATACCTGGAGTCGGTCTGCGACACGGTGTCCCGCGAAGACAGTGCCGAAGCCCCCCTTGCCCAGGAGGGGGCCGAGTCGGTACTCGGCCTCAAAAGCTTCCCGATTCTTGCCTCCTACGCGGGCGGAGGCGAGGAAGTCAGGGAGGCGACGCGCTTAGCCGGGCCGCGACCCCCTCCCCTCGCGCCACCCCCCGGTACTCCAACCCGCCCTGCCTGCTCGCGATAAGGGAGGCTGCGCTCACCTGGGGGCGGCATGGAGGTCACGGGGGGCGCGGGAAGCCCCTGCAGAGGTTTGGTCAACATGGAGGAGACGCTGCGCAGATTGGGCCCGCTGAGTCCGCAGGGCGGGGGCGCCTGGGGCAGAGCGGCCGCGGAGCCAGGGCCTGGGGGCGCCAGGATGGAAGGGAGGGAAACTGGTGGCCGGGGCACGCCAGTAGACCGTGCAATGTTAGGATCCACCGCGCGCGCCAGCGCCAACGCTTCTGAGACTGGGCACGCGCCGCCAGGGAGAGTCGCCTAGGGCGACGGCCCCGCCCTCTTGGTTTTGGTCAATCCGGACGCGGCACCTGCTGTACCCCAACCAATAGGAACCAATCTCTATTTGCATACCACCCTCAATGTTTAAGTACCCCTCTACGCAAATATGAGCCTGGTTCTTACGCGGGGCGGGGCATGCATGCAAAGAAGGGCGGGCGCGAGGTGAGACGCACGCGGTTCTGGGAATCCCTTTGCAGCACCCGCGTTTGTTTTAGTTGTTGCGCGGGGTTGATTTTTATACATACATGAAAACTTTTTAAACAATATCTGCGCCGCCTCCTTTCCTAGGAAGTGAGTTTACCACAGCCATCTCGAGATTAGCGTGGAGATAACGCCAGTCCTGGCTTCTAAAGATCGAGCCTGTGGCTATCTACGATCTAGTCAGATAGGTGCTCCTCGCCCAAGTTGAGCGCTCTAGGAGACTGGCAGCCTACACCTCGGAAACTGAAGTCAGGGGCCCTGGAAGAACCGGTCCAGCTTCCAGGAAGGGGTAACCCCCTCCTGACCACCACCAGAGAACACGCTGGTCAAAGGCAGCGTTCCCACACGCCCACAGGGGCGGCCTGTCCCGTGTTTTGGGAGCCCTGGTAGCCCAGCGGTTAAAGCCCTCGGCTAATTGAAAGGTCTGCAGTTCAAACCCACCAGTCGCTCCGCGGGAGAAGAGATGTGGCAGTCTGCTTACGTAAAGATTTAACAGTCTTGGAAACCCTATGCGGCAGTTCTACTCTGTCCTATAGGGTCGCTGAGTCTGAGTCCACTCGATGGCAGCGGGTTTGGTTTTTGGTTTTAACCTAGCCAAACTTGGCTAGACCTGGCTGTGGGCCCAGTCAGCAAGTCTAGAATCAGGAACGGCAAGGGAGAGTGTTTTCATAGGGTTTGAGGGCGAGCTGGAGTGGAGGTGGAGTGGGGCTGTCCTTCTGGATTAGACAGGGACTGAGAGAAGCCAGGAGAGGCTGCTAGGGAGGTGGTTAACACCCTCAGACACAAAGATGTGAAAAGCAGACAGCCAGAGAGGCTCTCCACCCCAGGAAGAAGGACGTGCACTCCAAAGACGCACACAGAAAATGCCATGTAAGATATAGACACAAACATGCACTGTTCCATTCATGTAAACTTGTCCTAGACACACAGAGACATGCACTGTCAGAGACTAACACACTGCCTGGTAGGCACACTGTCAGAGAAATAGTGATGTCCCAGAATGACACCCAGAAATGCAACTGCTTGTAGCAGAGACACAGAGTTTCAGAAATAGACACCCAGAGATGCGCTGTTACCAAAGACAGGCACTCCAGACAGACACGCATAGACTGACATTCCCATGTGACAATGATACACGCTGACAGAACTTGTCACTAAGGCACGGGCAGCATTCAGACATGCATGGTCACAAAAAGACTTGCAATGAGACCCAGAGTCTGACACAGGAAGATACAAAGATGCTCCAGAGACACACATGCACTGCTTCAAAGGCACACATATATACTGATGTAATGGACCCACAGAAATACGCAGTGTCACAAAGATGGGTAGACAATGGACCTGGCCACAGACACACATGCACCATCAGACACAGACATACAGCCTTGTCACTGAAACAAACTGTCCAGAAATAGCTCCCCAGAATCTGCCACAGGAAAAAACACATACACCCTATCAGAAACCACAGATGCACTGTCACAGACCCACACTTGTGTCAGATAGACACACAAACTGTCAGAGTCCCACAGTTAGCATCTGACACATCCCTTGTGTCTCACACACACACACACCACTGGAGACACTGTGAGATGCACATGAAGACTTGGACTCACTAGTCACACAGACAACACCCGAAAAGCAAATACACGTATGTACTTCCCCTTATTCATCCATCATTTATTAGGGGTCTACTGCAAGATTGCCAGGCCCTGGGGAAGGGGGAATGGATATTAGAGATACACAAATGAGTCAAGAAGTTTATAGTACAGCTCCTGGGGGAAAGGGAGTAGAGATATATTTGTAGACAGAGGGAGAACGTCAACGGGGTCACACAGGGCTTCTCAGGTGACCCTTTACCAGTCTTGAATGACCGGTTGGTGGCTGGGGACAGGGTAAAGGCAAATTCCAGACAGAGGCAAAGGAAACTGGACAGAGCAGCAAGGAGAGGTAGGCAGGTGGGCAAATGGTGCAGAAACTTCAATGCTAGGATAATAAATAATACCCACTAACATTTGCACTCTCAGAATGTGCCAGGCACTGTGCCCAGTCGCATATTACACTGACCATATGCATTCTCTCTCGATGCTCACAACCAGAGAGCATGAGGTAGTAGACATTAATGACCCTGTTTTATAGATGGGAGAAGTGAAACTCAGAGAGGCTAAGTGATTTGACCAAGGCCACACAGCTAGTAAAAAGCCAAGGGAGGTTTTAAACCAACTCTCCAACATACACATGCTTGACCACTGGACTCGAGAGACATCCCTCAGACACACAGCCAGCCACACCCTCACCTGCAGAGCCAACACACATCCTTCCACAGGGACCCATTACAGAGGCAATGATAATAAAACACTTGAGCAAAAACCGGGAGGGGGGCCGGCAGCCATTCTTCTCTGCCTTAGCTTTGCCCCTAGAAAGGGCAGGGACAGAGGTGTCAGAGGACTAGGGGACATGAAAAAACACGGCTTGGGCTGTTCCTCTGCTGCTAAAACCCAGTTGGAAAGGCCCCTCTGCTCTTTTCCACAAAACTGATGTTGCTACGAAGCGTCAGTTGTGCCTTTCCAACTCACAAGAAAAGAGCAAACATTTATGGCGCAAGAGGCAGGCGGAGAAGCTGGAATTCAGACAGGAAATTCAGTCCCTGCCCTCAAGGAGCTCACAATTCTCTGTTCCTAGCACCCCCAGGAAACAGGGTGGGCAGGCTGCATTGGTGCGAGGAATGCATAGGGGCAGCAGGCAAAGATGGAGCTTTCTTGGTGGCAATAACTTTAGTAAGTGAATTAATCCAATATGAACAAATTCCAGGCCCCCAGGTGGGCCCTACTGGGGAGCATGGGGACCTCAGATGTCAAGTCAAGGCCTGTGCCATCTCCTTTTCTGCCCATGGGCCCACCCACCTCCTGCCCCACATAGAACAGAGCCGCTCAGGGGAAACTGACATTTGGTTTTATTGAGCCAAGGACGTTACAGATGGCGGATCTTGTCAACACCTGCAGAGCACAGGTGCCCCATCTGCCAAGGCTGCTCCCACTCCCCATGCTCAAATCCTGGGTGGCGGCTATGATCCCCAAGGATGCTCCCCCCACCCCGAGATTCCAAAGAGACTGGTAGTAGTGGAAGCAAAAGGAATGCAGCGAGGTCAGTCTCATTGTCCAAAGCCAGTCTGACACGTGCTCACCCACTCCCACCCCAGCTCACACACACCCCCATAGAGCTGGAGGCCAGAACCACACCACTGTGCCCCCTCCATACCCCATGGCCTGCCTGTCCCCTAAACCAGAGAGATGCCATCTTCACAGAGCCAATACTGTTGTCTAGGTAATTTTTGATCGGTTGATTTTATAAGATAAAAGTACACTTTAATAAAGAAAAATTCAACAATGAAGGCTCAGACATTCTTGGGGTACTGGGAAGGGGATTTCCCACTTCTCTCCCCCACCTCCCTGGCATCATTTTGGGGGAGGGGACAAGTTTTTCTGATCTTGGGAGGAATGAGGAGCAGGAAGACTTTCCTCTGTCTGAATGTCTCTCCTCTGGGGCTGCCTGGCTGCCAGGTGGTTTGTCTGTGTGCCTCTCGCCTACCTTCGGCACCCTTGCCCGAGTCCCCTGTGGAATGCAGGGATGATGCTGTGCAGGGGGCAACAGGGCACGTCAGCTGGCGGAGAGACAGGTGGTGGTGGTGGTGGCAGCGATGAGAGGGGGCGCAGGGGTGGGCCAGCCAGAGGGAAGTGGGTGGAAGGAAAAGGAGGGGCAAGAGGGAGAAGGAAAGAAGGCAAGAGGGAAGAAAGCCGAAGAAGGTGGGGTGGCACCAGAGGGCAGGAGTGGTGGGGTTGGGAGACGGTCTCCAGTCCCTGGGTCTCCATCAACTCTTGTCTGGGGGTGGGTCTCTGTGCACTTTGTTTTTCTTCATACTGTCTAGGTATTCCTGTTGGGATACTGCCAGCACCGATGCTAGGATCTCATCATCATCCCAGTCATTCAGACCTGCTGGGCAAGAGGAAGGCGAGAAGGATGACATGAAGTTGAAGTTGGAGCTGTCTTGGTCTGCCTTCTGCCCACCCTGGCTCTGGAGGAACCCCATCCAGGCCCCTTATCACTCCTCTCTGAAGGGCAGACACACACACAGCATGAAAACCCCACCCAAGGCCCCTCTCACTCCATTCTCTAAGGAGAAGGCTCCCACGGGCCTAAAAAACCTCACTCAGACGCCTTCTGGGGTAGATCTCTTGGGCTGAAAAATTCCCTCCAGCACCTCTCACTCCTTTTCTTGGGAAGATCGCCAGAGCCTCCAAAAGCCCCCTCTTAGAACTTGCTTCTTCCTTGAGTCTCTCCCCAACTCCCAGCTGGTCCCTGTCCCCAAGACAGAGGAGGCTTACCAAAGGCGGAGGGGGACATCTGCTGAATGAGGGCCCGGCACTCCAGAGCAGGGTAGAGGGACACAAGGGGGGAGGTGGCCCGGTCAGCCCCGGCCGAGAACTGGCTGCTTGTACCTGGGGCAGACAGACAGTCAGAGGCAGAGCCCAGGACCCAGGGAGCACTTTCTAATCATAGCACTCTCCCTGTGAGCAAGTCACTGACCTGGTGCACAGGGTGAAGGAGGTTTGGCAAGAGCTAAGACAGTGCCTGGAGAAGGGGGCTTGATGCCCAGCTCGGCATGCAGCTCGGGGTGCTCAGGAGACGAGGCTGAACTCCGCTGCCGTGGGGACCGGCTGGTCCACTCCTCCAGGCCACTGGAGGCTGCTGCTGTGGCTGAACTACATGTGGCGCTGGCTTTCCGGGGCTGCAGTGGGGAAGGAAAAAGAGGTAAAGATCAACACCAGCCATGACCCTCCCCTGTCCCATCCCTGAGTGCTCCCTCCCTTCCTAGAATCTTTGGCTACAATCAGCTTCTACACAGGTAACTGTTATGGAATAAATTGTGCCCCTACAAAATATGTGTTGGAATCCTAATCCCTATACCTGTAGATGTAATCTCATTTGGGAACAGGGTTTTCTTTGTTATGTTACTTAGGCCCATCACTTTTGAGATCTAAAAAGAGCAGACTAGACACAGGAACAAAAAAAAGAAAAACCAATCCATTGCCATTGAGTCGATTTCGACTCATAGCGACCCTACAGGACAGAGTAGAACTGCCCCATAGGGTTTCAAGGAGCGGCTGGTGAATTTGAACTGCCAACCTTTTGGTTAGCAGCCGAGCTCTTAACCACTGCACCATCAGGGCTCCAACACAGGGACAAGCAAGCACAAATGGGGGAAACAGATGCCACATGGAAATTGCCAAGGAACTGAGAACACCTGAAACAAGGATTTTCCTCCAGAACGGACAGAGAGAGAGCCTTCCCCTAGAGCTGGTGCCCTGAATTCGAACTTCTAGCCTCCCAAACTGTGAGAAAATAAATTTCTGTTTGTTAAAGCCAGCTGCTTGTAGTATTTCTATTACAGCAACACTAAAAAACTAAGACAGTTGCCATCATTCCAATTACAGAAAGAACCACAGGACTCTCTCTCCCCCACAGGACAAAGTTTAAGCTCCTTAACCTTTCTCTCTTGCACCCTTATAGCCAACCTGACAGAAGTCCTGTTACCTCCACCTTCAAAATAAATCCAGAATCCAAATCCTTCTCACCACCTCCACTGCCAGCACCATCACCATCACCACTCACCTGGACTATGCAGTAGCCTTCTCCTCACTGGTCCCCCGCTTCCACCCTTGTCCTCCAGATTCCATTCTACACTCAGCAGCCAGGGGATCCTGTTAAATCCTAAGTCATATCCTGTCCCTCCTCTGCTCAGAATCCTCCCATGGCTTCCTCCTCAATCAGAGTAAAAGCCCAACCCCTCCACCTTCCTTGACATATGTGCTTAGCTAACTCCCTCACCTCCTGCAAGGTTCTGCTCAAATCTCTCCTGCTCTGAGGCCTACCCTCACCATATTTAATACTGTGAACTCCTACTCCCACTCAGCCCTACCCATTCCTTTTACCCTGCTCTCCAAATTTCATCCATAGCACCTCAACTAACTTATTCATTATGTTTGCTGTTTGTTCCCCTCTGCAATAATGCAAGTTATCACAAGGACAAGAATCTTGGCCTGCTCTGCTCACCAATGTACCCCATACAATGAGAATCGTGCCTGGCACAGATCTTCAATAAATATTTGGTGAATTATTCATTCAGCTCTTGCCAACATACGTACACAATCGCTCCAAACTCCATGTGAGTCCTCAAATGCCTGTCTGCCCTGCTCCTTCCCTGCCCTAAAAATTTAACCTTCCTCTGTGAAGCCTGATCACAGCCCCCATCTCTACTGGCCTCCCAGCCAGGGTGGAGGGCCCCACTGATGTGTCTGTCTCTCTCAACAGACGGGATCATTGAGGGCAGAGGGGGCCGGATCTGATTTTACATCCTCAGCAGAGCCTGGCACACGTGGGTCATTCAACAAAAGCCTGTGTCTCTGAAGCAATCCATCTATCTCTTGTGTAACCACCAGTCGCTGCCCTCCCTCACTCCGTAAGAGCTTGCTCTGCACAGGTATTGAGAGTTCCAAGGCACAATGCCTAGACTAAAGCCAAAATGAGGTACAGACTGAGCTGGGAACTTTCTTTCTTCCCAGATGTCAAAATGGCTTAATTTTTTCTGCCCGTTTGGGGCCAGAGAATGGGAATAATGGGTTCTCGGCCAGGCGAGCAACAGGGCTCGTGACCTACCTGGGTGGGGCCGCGGACCTGACGGGCCTGTTTCTCCTGATCCCGCAGCCACTGCAGGTAGGATTCCCGAGCCACCTGCTCCTCAATGGCCTCATTGGTGGCCTCCCAGTCTGTGGCCCGCTTCTTGTCTTCCAGCATCTGCTGTTCAATCCATGACTCCTCTGATGTTTTTATGGCATTCTTCATCAGGGACTGCTCTGCAAACTGCAAAGGGGAGAAGAACAGAGATGTGGGGTGAGAATCTCAACTTTATCCAAGAGACAACTGTCTCAGAAAGGTAGGCCCACTGGCCCCAGAAAACAGGAGACCGGAAGGCAGGTACTCTGGCCAAGCACCCCTTGCCAGATAGTCTATTCATCAGGCATTGAGAATAAGCAGATTTGGGCTATGCAGCCTGTCATTCCCAATTCCTACACTCAGAAGCCCTGGCCCTGGCCCTAAAACAATTCAATTGAGGCACTAAGTCTGGGGCAGACAGGTGCCCTCTAGCCTAGGCCTTAGTTTACAAAAGCCCCACAGAACAATGACTTGAGTTTCACAATGCTCATACGCCCAGAGGGAACAAAGAGAAAAGATTACCTGAGAAGGTAACTGTGCATACAAAAGGGTAGAAGGAGAATTTGAGCATGTAAGTGGGTGGGGAAAGCAGTGTTGGTGTGTGAGGGAATGAAGGGGCAGTATTGCTATAGTGTAGGGTGCCAGGAGTTGTGGGACATTATATGAGAGTACTGTTTTCAGGCTATGAGTTGTAACAGCATTTTTAAAAAATAAAATAGAAAATATCAGAGTAAATCCCAGGGAATGAGGGTAAGTACTGTTTCCTGAAATTTTCATTTTGACTACTTTTAACATATATACACACACCACACACTACAAATGCATGTAGGCTAAGTAATTATGTAAAATGCGACTTTTTAATGTAGATAATAGTAAAAAAATATGTAAAACTCTACGTTGGAATAAGCCAATTAAAAATGGGCAACAGATCTAAACACATACCTTATCAAAGGTGATATACAGAAGGAAAGTAAGTATAGAAAAGATACTCAATCATTTACCATCAACCAAAAAAAAAAAAAACAAACCCACTGCCGTCAAGTCAATGCCGACTCATAGCACCCCTCAGGACAGAGTAGAACTGCCCCAAAGGGTTTCCAAGGCTATAAATCTTTACGGAAGCAGACTAAACATCTTTCTCCCACAGAGCAGCTACTGGGTTCAAACTGCTGACCTTTTTTGTTAGCAGTCGAGCATTTTAACCACTGTGCCACCAGGGCACTTTCATTTGTCATTCAAAATAAGAACAAACAAAACCCGCTGCCGTTGAGTCGATTCCAACTTATAGCGACCCTATAGGACAGAGTAGAACTGCCCCATAGGGTTCCTAAGGAGCAGCTGGTGGATTCAAACTGCTGACTTTTTGGTTAGCAGCCAAACTCTTAACCACTATGCCACTGGGGTTTCCTCATTTGTCATTAGGCAATTGCAAATTAAAACAACAATGAGGTACTACTACACGCCTATTAGAATAGCTAAAATCCAAAATTTTGACAATTGTAATTGCTCATGAAAGATGCAGAGCAACACGAACATGAACTCTCTCATCAACTGCTGGTGGAAATGCAAAATGGTACAGCCACTTTGGAAGACAGTTTGGCAGTTTCTTAAAAGCTGCACATACTCTTAAAACATGATCCAGCAACTGCACTCAAGTGATCTGAAAACTTATATCCACACAAAAGTTTATAGCAGCTATATATATACAATCACCAAACACTGGAAGCAACCAAGATGTCCTTTAATAGGTGAATGAGTAAACAAACTGGTACATCCATACAATGGAATATTATTCAGCAATAAAAAGAGCCATCAGAAACGAGGGGAAAAAAAGAAATAAGCCATTAAACCACTAAAAGATACAGGAATCTTAAATGCATATTACTAAGAGAAAGAAGCCAGTCTGAAAAGGCTACATACTGTATGATTCCAATTATATGACATTCTGGAAAAGGCAAAATGGATGGTAGGAGCCCTGGTGGTGCGGTGGTTTTAACCGAAAGGTTGGCGGTTCGAATCTACCAGCTGTTCTACAGGAAAAAGACGTGGCAGTCTACTTCAGTAAAGATTTACAGCCTTAGAAACCCTATGGGGCAGTTCTACTCTGTCTTGTAAGATCGCTATGAGTGGGAATCAACACAACAGCAATGGGTTTGGTTTTTGTTTTTTCACAGAGACAGTAAAAAGATCAGTGGTTCCCAGGGATTAATGGGGAAAGAGGAAGGACAAATTAAGTGGAGAACAGAGGATTTTAGGATAGTGAAACTATTCTGTACACCTTAATGCATGCAAATTAAAAATCATTTAGGAGGTCAGGGGACCCCAGAATGAAATGCAGAATACGAAAACAGAATCTAACTAAAGGGTGTGCATCTTGTAGTGCCAGAAAGTAACGACGTGCCACTCTACTCTCAAAAAAAATAAAACAAAAAAAACAACACTGCCCAATGATGGGAGTATGCCGAAGGGATATGGGAACCAACCAAAAGCGCTCCCAATGCCCAAAGTTGGAACAATTTGAGCAACAAAATAAATAACAGTAGTATTGGATTATAACCCAATGCATAAAATAAATATCCATGAGTCCATACTGAAATAAGGAAATGACTGAATAAAAAAGTAAGAGAGAAGAGACAAATCTCCCTTGCATAAGAATTCCAAGTAATTTATGTAGATACTCTCCCCTCAAGGAGATGGAGCATAACCTCTTAAGTGTGGGCTACACATAGTGACTTCCTTCCAAAGCGTACAGCATGGAAAAGAGTAACTTTACAGTGGAGAAACCTGACAAACACTACCTTAGCCTGGTGATCAAGGTCAACATCAACAGTCATAAATCATTATTGATACGATATCCCTTGATAGGATGTGATGAAAATGGCACTTTACCACTGTGCTCTTCCTCCCTAAAACTCCTGACTCCAGTCTAATCGTGAGAAAAACATCAAATTCCAACAGAGAGCCTTCTACGATAAACCAGTACTCCTCAAAACTGTCAAGGCCATCAAAGACAAGGGAAGTATGAGAAAATGTCACAGACAAGAGGAGCCTAAGGAGGCATGAGGACTTTTGTTAATAATAATGTATCAATATTGGTCCACTAATTGTAACAAATGTACCAATCATTTAAGACGTTAATAATAGTGAAACTGTGTGTGTGTGTGCGGAAAGGGGGTGTGTGTGCGGAAATTCTGTCCTATTGTCTCAATTTTTCTGTAAATCTGAAACTGTTCTAAAAAAAAGACTATTAATAAAAAGAAAACTATTCAAATTTTAAAAAAGAAAAAAAGATATGAGCTATCAAGCCACAAAAAGTCATGCAAGAATCTTAAAAACACAGTGTTAGTGAAAGAAACCAGTCTGAAAAAGCTATATACTGTATGATTCCAATTACATGACATTCTGGAAAAGGTAAAACTACACAGACAATAAACAGATCAAAAAACTAAAACAAGAACAAGGAAAGTCTGAGAAACTGTCACAGCTAAGAGGAGCCTAGAAACATGAGGACTAATCATAATGTGGTATTATCCTGGATGGAACATAGATAAAGGTCATTAAGGACAACTGAGGAAATCTGAATAAAGTATGGTCTTTAATTAATAATAATATATCAATGTTGGTTCATTAGTTGTGATAAAAGTGTCATACTAATATAAGATGTTAATCATACAGGAAACTGGGCATGGGGTATATGGGAACTCTGTATTTTCAATAATTCCGTAAATCTAAAACTTTTCTAAATTTAAGTTTATTTTTAAAAACGCTTATAGTGGAGAGTGTGTTGATGGTAGGGTATGTGTTTCCTAAAACAAAGAGGAGCACTTTCTGTTTGTAGGAAGTGAAACCAAAATAGAAGATTATCAAAATCCCCAGCAGACTCTGTTTATGAGAGAGAAAGAGAATAATATATATCACTGTGTGTTGGGAAAATGTATTTCACTTTCTGAGCACCTATTATGCACCAGTCCCAGTGTTAGGCACTTCCTGTACCAGCCAAGCTGCCAGCTCAGAGTAGTTGCACAATCTACCTAAGGTCCCACAGCCAGTAAGTGGTGGGGCTAGGCCTGCATTTCAGGTCTCTATGACTACAGCTATCTGTAACCACTATCAGTTGGAAGGGGGATCCAGGTGGATGCTAAGACAACCTAGACCAAGCCCTGGCTCACCGTTCTCAAATCTGGCTCCATATTCTAAATGCCAACTCTCAACAGGCACAAAAGATGGGTGAGCCAGCTCACAGACAAGCAAACTGAGACCACTGAATAAGCACTGTGAGATTACCTAGGGTAACTCCCTAATTTTATAGAGGTGAGACCTTAAGGGAGACCCAGAGAGGGGGAGAGACATTTTTGTGAGCTAGGGGCAGAACTGAGACTCCAACAGAGGTTTCTGGCCTCTATATTCGTAAGCTATCCTGGTCACAGGGACCCACTCACCCCTGGTTTGAATGATGGCAGGCCCAGCCCTACGCCAATGGTGGCCTTGTTGGGATTCACCACTGAATTGTAGTGGATATTCCGATGGTAGCTTACACGGATGGGTTCATCCTCATTTTGATGGATCCCATGGAATGTGTTGATAGGTTCTGCAGAGAGAGAGAACGAGGGAGTACCCACAGTGGGCCTGTAGGGCAGGCTCAGACTATGTCTCTCATCTACCCACCAGAGAAGTACCTGTGCTGTACTGGTACACCTCCACAGGACGGTTGTACATCTCTGCCATGGCCTGCATCTCAATGTGGTTGCCATGGCAGTTGTTTTTCCGCTTCCGGTTGATATAGGTGGTGAAGTCCTCTGTGACATAGTTGGAGAAGTAGTCAGCATTCTTCATCTGCAGAATAGATAGGAAGGTCAAGGTCTGTGTGGAGAGGAGATCCTCCCACCCTGCCCCTGCCCCAAGGCCTCCGCAAGGTCTCACCAGATAGTCCATGCAGTGCTTTCGCACAACCTCATGCATGTCCTGGTCTCCATACACCTGGTCAGCTGTGGGACAGAAGAAAGGAGGGGCTGGGGTCGGAGCTGCCACCAGAGAAGAGTCTTGAGTCAAGGAACACTCTTGTGGGCTGCGAGGCCAGGGAAACTCCCTTTCCTACCCCAAGCCCTGGACAATTCTTCCCCTTGTGGGCTGGACTGGGGCCATGCAAAAAAGACAGGCAGGGACAGTCTGGAAGAACAAGAGAGCTCAGACGAGAGGGACACAACCAGAGGCCTCTTGGGCAGATGACTTTATCTAGAGCTTGCCTGGCCACTCAGGCAAGTCAAGGAACACTTTAAGTCCCATAAATAGCCTTGAGCACCATCAATTCTACCCCCCTCTCATTCTCCACACGAGGCAACTGAGGCTCAGGGAGTTTGTGGCTTGCCAAAGGTCACACACACAGGAAGTCAATCTGTGGCAGAGTCAACTCTGGAATTCAATTTTCCTGACTCCCAGTAGTCAGTGTGGTCTTTGTAGGTTAAAACAAAATAAAATCTCAGCTCTAAGCCCAGTTCTGCCAGGTACTAGTGAGCTGAGTGACCAGAGGCAAGTGTTCTGAGTCTCATATGCTTCACGTGTAAAATGGAGACAAGATGGATAACTACCTGGCAAGCCTTTTCCGGGATTAAATGAGGTAATGGGTGTAAAGTGACCAGCACTAGGCTTGGGACAGAGTAGTCACTCAGTAAATTAGAGTCCCCTTCTCCACAGCGAGGCCTGAATGTGGGGTGCTGCAAAGGAGACAGAGGTGAGGAAAAGCCTGCCCCTGCCCGCAAGAAATGCATAGCCTAGTAAGAGACAGAAGACATATATGCACCTAATTTAAGCCAAAATCAGGAAAGGCAGCCTGCAGCCCAAAGGGTCCAGGTGTCGTGGGGTTTTAGTCCACATAAGGAGAGAAGGAACCAGGCTCCCTCTGCCTTGCTTGAGGATCTTCACACATGACATTCCCTCTTTTCCAGGATGCCCTTCCCTCCTCCTCGGCTGCCTACTTGTTAAGCACCAATGTGTTCTTTAATATAGTTTCCCCTTATTACCCCCCAAGGACACTTCTATTACCTGATGTATCAAAGGGGTGCACAAGCCTTCATCTGCCCCATCACACTGCACTCTCACTGAGGGCAGAGGATAGCTCACGTTTAAGTCCACCCCCAGGCTCAGGGCCTGATACAGTAAAGGAAATCAGGTAAAGTTTGCTGAATGAATGGACAGGCTGGGGGAGCCAGGCAGGACTTCTCCCTGGGCAATTAAGGTAGACTTGGAAATCAAGCAAGATTGATTTCTATCAAGACGAAAAGGGAATTTCCCTTTGTTTCCCCGGGGAGACTATTGCTATGATGGGTTCTCCCTAGGGCACTGGGAACTCCAGATTTCTTCCATGATCATCATAATGGTCAGAACAATGACTTCACTGTCTTCCCCTTCCCTCCCGGGAGGGTTCTGTGAGATAAGGAAAGGCTGCTCTGAGACAGAAAATGAGCCCTGTCTCTGTCTCAAGCCCTCCTGGAGGTACAAAGACCTGGGGGGGTGGGGGGGGGGGTGGGGGTGGGGGTTGTGAAGGCGGGAAGGGGTAGCCCCTTCACCAATGTAAACAAGGATGTGGGTTTTGTGGCTACACTCTCCCCCATCCCCACCCCCACCCCCTAGTGGCACTTCCAGCAAGTCACGTGCCTGCGCACAGGCTGGGGGACCCTTACTGCTGCCTTTCTTAGAAGCTAGGACCACAGAGCCTGCTGTGGCTGCCCAAGCTGCTTGGGGAGCTATTTCCATAGGCTGAGCTTGGGGCTCCACGGAGGCAATGCTGTCGGCCAGTTGCAGTAAACAGGAACTAAGATGGGAGTGAACGGGTTAAATAGGAGTTGGCTTGCCAGGCTCTGAGAGAGATACCGATGTGTTGGAGAAAACTTTACCTCCTGTGGATGGGTCAACCCTCATTTCCAGGCCTGGGAAATATTATCTACTACCCAAGCTAGATCCCAGATGCAGAAAAATGGGGAAAAGAGGGGAGACTGTGGGATAAGGAAGGGAGCAGGGGAGAATCCCACGAGGGTCCCCTCATGTTCCTGCCACTGACACCTTTGCGAGGCATCAAAGCCTGGCAGAAAGACTCTGCTGCCTCCTGGCTGTGTGACACTGGACAAAGACTTTAACCCCTCTGGGTCTCAACGTCCTCATCCATACAGTGGGGAGAGAAACTCCTCTTCTTCTCACAGGTGTTGTTAAAACAACATGGGAAGGTTTGCAAAATACATGAGGCATAGTAGGTGTTCAAGAAACAGGAGCTATGTTTGTCATGAGGATGACGACTCCTTCAGATTCCTAGCCACCCACACGTCAGCCATAATGTCACCAGGAGCACTTATTAAGCCATTCCTCATTTTTGTTGCACTTCCACAGCCAGAGAAAAGCCCCAAATGCTGAAACCAGTCTATCTCTCCTCTTACTGTCCATCCTCATGGCAAACAGGACTGTCTCTCTACCTTTACTGAATCCAAAGGTCCACAAGCCCACCTTCTGTGCCTTTAGCTTGAAACTTCAGCAATCAAATGCAAAGATTAATAACACAGGCTTCACAAAACAAGGTCCTTAAATGTGGGCAAGTTATGACACTTCTCTACTCATCTGTAAAATGTAAAATATCACCTTCTCTCAATTCTAAGATGCCACTGATAAGTAGTATGGTACAACATGTATTTAATTACAGTTTTTTCAGGGGAAAACCCCACCACACTGATTATAAGATGTACTCTAATTTTGGGATCATTAATGTGGGGAAAAATGTGTACCTTTGAACCAGGGGAACAGAGCAATAGTACCTCCCCAACAAGGGAGATTAAAAGTTGTTTTTTTCAATGATCTAAGGCAGGAAAGGCATCCAGCTCAGGGCTAAAAACATAGTGAGTACTCAATAAGGATTAGCTTTTTTGATTCTTCTAGCCCCACCTCTATCATCCAGAAAGCCCTCCTCCTCCTCCCAGAAGGTTGGCACATGGGGCTGGGGACCAGGCTTGGACCTCCCTGTGTGGGGGCCCAAGGTGGGGGAAAGAAGGGCCCAGTGGATCTGCAGAGGTAGGGGAATTCAGAGAACTTGTTTTGATAGAAACCGAAACTTCTCCTCTTGCTGACGCTGCACTTGTGGGCAATCTGCACCTGCTCTCCCCTCCCAGAGTCCAGCTGGAAGGGGGTCCCCCAATGCCCCACCTCTGTTCCCAGCCCAAACAGGGCTCAAAAATCCTCAGTACAATACTACTAGTAGTTCTACCAAGGACTTGTCACACTCCAACTCATTTGATTCACACAAAAACAACCCTACTTTTCCCAAAAGGTATACTGAGATACAGGAATGTGCCACAGCTGGTCCAAAGTGACACATTTGGGAAGGGGTGAATTCAGGCACTGGAAACCTTAGCCTAGGGAACTCCACATCCCAAGAGCTAAGCTTAGAGCTAGGTACAGCTACCCTGGCTGCAGACCAGAGCATCTGCCATGTGGCAAGGTTGGCTCTGAGGGCAAAGGAGCCCTTTCTCAGTAGGGATGGGGAGTGAAGGTAAGGCCAGGCTTTCAAGGGGTAAACTGGTGACTTCAAGCACTGCTGGCCCCAGGCGACATTACCAACCTTCCCCACCCCCAATCCAGCTATCCCATAAACTGCTTGACTCCCTAGGGGCCAAGTCTATCCTCCCTTCCTCAGTTTCCCCACAAGCACAAACAGGAATCAGCTGGAACCCAGGGAAGGCCTGGGGATGGGAAGGAGATAACAGGTATCAGAGGCTGTCTCTCTCACTCAGGCCACAGAAGTCAGCATGAACCTGACCCCGACACCCTACTTCTTCCCTTTCTCTGAGTATATAGACACAAGAATAGGAATGCATAAGTGCGCACACACATACAGCCAGTAGATCCTGCCCAAGATGTTCTCTGGGACCAAATATCCTACAAAAATCCCGTAACAGAGAACCATCTCATTCAACAAGTAAATGGCCCTGCCATCAATAGGAAAAGCTGAAGGCTGGACAAGACATGAGGCTGTATGAACTGAGGAGCTCCCCTACCTCCTTTCTAGCCTTTGTCAGGGGTGGTGGTGGTGGGGATAACCAATAACTCCAAGAGACCTACTTCAACCTCTTCTGCTGCCTGGGGCAATGTCCCCCACACCTCTGTAATCCTTCCTCCTTGAGGTGTCTAACATAGAATCAGTATTTATCCAGTAGTTATGCTGAGAACCTGGACTATTTTTACAAAGGAGTTTAAGTACAAGGCTCTACCACTTGCTTTAGAGGCATCTGGGAACTACCCCCCAGGTTGCTACATGCCTGCCTGATAAAAGAGCTACAGCAAGTTCAGCTAAGGACAGAAAAGGAAGCTTTGTGTCTGCAAGGAACCTAAAAACAAACCACATATACGTGTTGCAGGGAGAGCCAGGGGCCTGGTCTGTCCTTCACTTCCTTCCTGGTCCAGTGGGAACTATGGCCCCACTGAGTAGATGAGCCAGGAAAAATGCCTCACCTGCCTGTCAACTGTGGTTGTGACCTGGCCCATGGCCCCAACCACCACACCCTCAGTAGGGAGCTGGCTGGGGAAGAGCAGAACTCAGCCCCCTAGATAGCTTGGTCTCTGAGATATCTAGCTCTCCTACTCAAGGATTCCCACAGCAAAGATGGGAAAATTGAGGGAGGCAGGGCAGAGAAAGGTCAAAGGAAGTTAGTGTATAGGAAGTGGCCCATCAGAATCTTCTCCTTCTGTGGCCTGGTTCAACCTCAAACACCTATGTTCTGACACTGGCTGTGTGAGTTAGATAGGGTCCTGGCTTTCTCGTAAGGCCTGTTTCCCCACTTATAAAACAGTCAAAATTGATCCAAGATCCATCCTTCCCAGTGCTAATGGCCCATGTTCAAAGACCAAAAGGACCAGAAGAGTGGATTTGGCTAATGTTTCTGGGCCTCATCGCTATAACATGCATACTCCCCTGTGGCCCATGCAGACATACACACATATGGCCTCCACT